AAGGCGAATGCCCTACCCGCTGTGCTATCGCTCCAGCCCATGATAGTAGCATTCTAAGTAAAACATTGAACTACAAAATACCATGCATCTTCTTTTGTTCAATGTTCAGTCAACAATGATATATAAACAGAGGCATGTTAAAAGAATTGGATTTTGATGGAATGAGAAAGCTGGATCATTTAGACATTTTCTAGTATTTATATCAAGTGTATTGAAAATTTTCAAGAATCTGGTTTCTCTAAGAGTTTGGTGACAGAGGGAAGGGTTCTTAACTCAGTCTCAGCCTATCAAAAAGAAGTTATCAGAGAGAAAATTTAAGATTTTCTAAAGCTTGACCTTAAATCTTTGATAAGAAGATCACAAGATAGATAACTTCAACATGACTTCTGTATTCCAACCAACAATACTGGCATATGGCAGGAGAATTTCCTCACTCCAAGGCAGCAAGAACTATAGAGGGCACAGGGTACATTTGATAGTCATCTATTGATTGATTTACTTGCTCCATGTCAGTTCTATCTCTAAATAGAATGTGAAAGTCATTTGACATCCAAGCTTAGCAATACTACACAGTTCTCATGGATTCAGTGTCATGTATCTTATGAAATGAGAACCAAGTAAATTGTTCTAATAAAACACAAGCCCATCCAGGGCAGTCAATGTGATCTGCTCCCATTAGCACCAACTGCATTTCCCATTACCTAGATTTATTAAAGTTAAAAGAAGCAGCTCATAAAGCTTCTACCCAACCCCAAAATTGCTGCTGTACTACACAGTAACTGTCGAATTTTTCTTATCCCTTTATTTTATTAATAATACATTTAACCTGTTATAAAAAAAACACTCAGAGGAAAATGACAAAGAAAAGATGATAATGATTTCTTGACAGATCGTGAATGAAAGACTAGCACAGCTTTAACTGAGCTTGACATTCCATTTTTATGTACAAGTCCCTTCCCTTTCCCAATCTCTTTTTACTTAATTGAGAAAGCCCACATAGGGATGAAGCAAAGAGTTTAATTAACCCTTTCCCTAAAACCATTAATTCAAGATATCTGATGTTGATTATGCATGTTTGGTCATAAGTAGAGTCCCTGTTGATGCTGCACAGAAATGGACCAAATAATCGAGTTTTGGAATAGAACCCAGTGTTCAAATTGGAATGTTTTATTAATCATAGTTCTTAAGAGATATTGAACATTGGAGGGGGTAGAAAAGAAAATAAATAATACATACACTTAAAATGGCCCTGAGATGAGTAGCTGCACTCTTTATAAATATTACAAACCTCACATAATCCCTTAGGTAAAGACACAATATTCAACACACATAATGATGAACAACAACAAAACGGCATTTTAATTTGAACCAAGTATTCTTGCTATGGTTTGCTCATTCTGTTAGCACAATATTCCTTGGGGTATTATGAACTAGGCTATTAACATCCCCAAATAATAGATGATTATTCAAAGATGCAGTAATCGACCCACAGGTAATACATGCCTTCACTATCAGTGACTAAATGATAGAAAATAGAAGATATAATCCATAAACTGGGAGGGTGAAGTATCATTTTACTATCTTGTCTAGAATAAAATTTATTAGGGACATACATGTGTTTATAGCTTTATTAATCATTTACCTATAAAAACAAACTCTAGTTGCTGAAATTTTAAAAATGTTTTTGACTGCATTCTTTGGTAAGAATTATCATGGCATATATTAGCACTGTAAAACTAATTGCTCTAATTAGCAAATGTTATTGGTGACAAACTAACACAGAGCATTTTATTTTCCACAACTGTCATTAATATATTTTTTTAAAGGAGCAAGTAAAGAGAAAGGAGATTTTATGTTCTCTTGTGTGTTTTCACAGTTTTGTCTTAGACTAGAATGACTTCTGTACCCCTTTTCTTTACCATGGCACCAGCTGTAGACACCAGGGTTTGGCACTGGGCAACTAATGTACCTAGACCCCCTTATCCCAACAATTCTAACAGTTTTTGCTGTTTTCATACTGATCTCACACCATTTTTATAACTAATTATCTGTTGACATATTTAGAATTTGTCTGCACAAGTAGAATGAATTTGTCAGCTATGTCTAATTCATTCTGTATGACCAATATTCGAACCTGAGACAGTGCTGTTCTACAAAATATTAGAAAGAAAGCAACAAGTATAGAATCAGAGACATAATACAGCAGCTAGGATACTTACATTGTATGCAGTCAACTGGGGTTTCATCTCCAGCACCACACATGTTACCCTGGACATGGCCAGGAGTGATTCCTGAGCAGAGAGCTGGGAGTGAGCCCTGAGTACCTTCAAGTGTAGTTACAAAACAAAAATTAAAAGTTAATTTTTGTGTGTGAGTGGGAGGCTTTTCAAGTGGTTCCCAGAGTGTTTCAGATACCATTTCAGTGATATTATACCAACCAGGTTGGAGGATCGATACTGGGAAGACTGTAATGTTGTTCAAGCCCTGCAGTGCCTGGGATAACCAGGACAAGAGCAGGAGTGCTCCGGGGACCTCAAAAAGGCCACTCTCAGGGTGTTGGGTGGAGATCTTTCAGTGCTTACAGAGTACTGTCTCCCAGTCCATAGTGGTTTCACCAAAATAAGGTGTTTGATTTATTAGTAGATGAATGACAGTTCAGTTTAAGAACATCTGCGTTTCTTCATTTAATTTTTGTCTGTAAAGCCAGAAGGCATATCTTTTCAAATGTTTTATGGAGAAATGATAATCTTATATTTCCAATTTTTAATTTTTTTATTGTGATGATAGTAGATAGAACTGTCTCTCATACGAAAATGCAGTTATGAGAAAATAGAGTTTGCTGAATTTTCCTAAATAGTTTTTAGTATGTACTATGATTCAGTTATTGAACATGTAAAAATATACAATAAGACTTTGTCTTCAAGATTTATTTTTGGAGGAAATACATATGAATGCATATGTATATGCATGTATTTCTTTCCCGTGTGCGCATGGACGTATGACAAAGTTTAATTTACAATTCAGATATAGCCATATATTCACATCTAATAGCAAAACAGCATTTATATTATTTGAAATAAAAGTTATGTGAATGTGACATCCTTCTCCTTCAAATTATCTTATTGTTAGCAATATTTTTAGACTCCGGGTAACTGTTGATAATTGAAACAATGTGAAGTGAAACCAGGAAGGGGGGGGGGGGGCAGTCTACTGTGCTGGTTTTCATAGGAAGTTGAAAAGCACAGCACTCACGGGTGACCTCCCAAATCCCCACATCATTTGCTCTTTTATGAAGTGAGTGCTCACTGGGAATCAGAAAAACCAATCTGCAAAGCTTTTGTTAATCTCTTCTTAGATTTTGCTTAAAAGCATGATCTAGTGTGTATTCCTGGTATTTCCTGGTGTGATTACTGCACTTATCATATAGGATATCTGGACCAGCTGCTGCCCTCTCTGTATGGGGCATATTACTTGCGGTAACCTCAGAAAATATACATATCCTCTTGAACCTTACAAACTCCCTTTTTGTCTTTGTTCAAAGATTTTATCAGAAACCCCTCTAAGAAGTGAAGGAAATGGAATTTAAACATGTTTATATTCCGAACCCAAATGTCCATACAACTCCAAATAAACCCAGTGAACTGATAATATGGTGAGCATGGTAATCCAACATATAATTATGTTGGTATTGCCCAAGAAGCCAACACCGAAGAACTAGAAAACTCTGTGACAAATTTGTAACATCCAATATAACAAAATTATGCTATTGAAAATGTTTACTGAAACCCAATAATGAATTGATTGGAGACACACAGCATCACTATAGGAATGATGACTCAGAATCCCTGAATCCTGGGACCTGGAGTGTGACAGGAATATTCTTGGTCCTTTTTCTGACAAGTAACAGTTCAGACAGGGACCGAAGTGGGCATGCCACTCAAACAGGTCCCTGCCAATTGCCTCAAAGATTAGTCCCGTGTGTTTGGGGCCAGGCCCAGAAGTGTCTCCAGCATGGATATGGATACAGATGGACCTGGGGGGAGGTGGAAGACACATTTTTTAGGGCCTGGACATATCCCTAGGCATTATGAACGTTCCATCAGGTCTGGAGGCTTCCTCCCCAAAGTGGAGATAATGGAAGAATCAGACTGACGGAAAAATCCAGAACTTGATGTAAGAATCAGACATAGAAAAATCCAGAACTTGAATAAAGTCATTCCGCCACCTCTGGGCACATACCTTGATCCCCTTGGCTGGCATCTCATCCTACCCTACTGAGACTAGGAGGAATGTCAGGGCAGGGGCAGAACTTGGGGAGTAGACTCTGAGCCAGCTAGCTGCCCTGTCAGCTTGCAACCCCACAAACATGGCCTAAAGCTCTGTGCCTCCACTCCCAAGGGGAAAAAAATGGAGGCGGCAATAGGGTGAGGAGCCCTGGCTGTTTGGCAGTCTCCATGTGGCAGACTCTTGAGTTGGGATAGTGTCATCTTCCTTTTACCCACAGTCAAAAGGTTTTTGTGACACTTGGCAGTGACCTGGTAGCACTTTTTCCATGATGGTATTTTTTCTGACAACCTCTCTGGAATGGTGAGCAGAGAAGACTGGTGCAGGCCCCCTGCCTGTTTCCTGAGGCAGCTGTGTCCCTTGATGCAGATCTCACCTCAGAACTGGCGGAATAGGAGCGAGGTGCTGACTGCATCCATCTGTCTGTCCCACCCCCGGAGCCGGAGACAGCTACCTGCTGTGAGGGGCAGAGGCTCCACAGAGCCAAGTATGGGCCATGAAGGGCCCCTCGAGGCCTCCACAGAAATAGATACTCAAGCTGAGACATGTTTGTCTGTGGAGGCTGAGGGCATCCACAGTGCAAGGAATCATCAGGTCTCTCCTGCCTGGCTTTGGGGGGGACACACACCTCCCCATTTAGCTTCTAGGAGGAGGCAGGATCAGGGGCAATCCCAGGACAGTGGGCTTGATGCGTGTGGGGACAGACAGAGGAGGCGTCAGCTGGCCTCTAGCTCCTGCTGAGCCTCCTTCTTGAGTGGATATGGTGTGAAGTGGCCACCTAGGAGCCCGGGGCTGGGAGGGGCCTTGCTTGGCTTCCAGCAACTGACCTGAGAAAACTCTCTGCCTTGCGGCCAGTGTCTAATCCTTGACTGGTGCTGAATAAATGAGCAGCAAGCCCCTGGCTCTGGCCTCTGGGCTCCTCTCTGAGGAAGATTCCAGGCAGTAACGGTCTCCTGATGAGACCTGGAGCTGTGCATGACCACTTCAGTCCCTGTCTCTGAGGTGGCCCGGGAGCATTTCCGGCTGCTGCGTAGGCTGCAGAACTTCTCAGTGAGGTGCTTCTGGAATTTCTTGGTGAGGAAACAGTAGATGATGGGGTCTAAGACGCAGTTGTTGCTCAGAAGGCAAAGGGTGACTTGATGGGCATCATTAATGGCCTGATGGAACTGGGTCTTCAGGAATTTCAGTTCCAGCAGGGTCCAGGGCAGCTGCACTATATGGTAGGGCACAAAGCAAATGATGAATACGGCCAAGACAGTGCACACTATCTACAGCGCCCGACACTTGACTTCCATGTTGCTCTGCAGCTGGGTCAGCTGCATGAGCAGCTTCCGGATGATAACCAGGTTGCAGAAGAAAATGAGGAGGAATACAAGGAAGAAACTGCACACAAGAAAGATGTGGATGATGAGGACTGGGATGCTGCCCTCCTCATAATGCTCAAAGCAGCGGGTGACGTTGCCTGAACCCAACTTGTTGGGCACAACATTGGTAGAGTCGTCAAAAAAGAAGTAGGAGGCAGAAGACACAATAGCCACCCAAATGACCAGGGACAAATAGATGCCCCACTTGCGTGTGGTGGCCTGAGCCGTCTTGATGGGCTGTGTCATGGCCTGGAAACGGTTGTAAGTGATGACACCCAAAAAGGCCACCGAGCAGTAGGTGTTGATGAAAAAGAAGCAACCAGTCAGGTTGCACAGGAATTTAGGGAGAATCCAGTTGCCCTGGTTGTAGTAGTAGATGATCCACAGGGGCAGAGTGATCAGAAACAGCAGGTCTGCCGTGGTGAGGTTCACCATGAAGATCTTTATCTCGTTGAGTTTCTTGGAAGGGTACAGGCGGGCAAAAACCCACAGCACATAGCTGTTGGCTATTACCCCCAGCACAAAGATGATGCTGTAGAAGATGGGGAAGAGAGTGTACCTGGACTCAGAATCCACACGGTGGGAGTCATTTGACTCCATTGCTCTGGACTGACTGGGGCAGCTGGTCTTAGGGCCTGTCACAGGGTTCATCTGTGCCTGAAAGACAACACAGGAATTATGGGTTATTGAAGGGCCAACAAGGGACTATCTTCACTCATTAACTTCAAAACTATCATTTTCCACATTTCATTTTATGAACATTGCCAGGGATCGACCCCAGAGTCTCACACTTGCAAGGAAAATGCTGCGCTAATAAGTTGGTTATATATATTGGCTTATCTACTTTTAGGGACACACCCAGGATGTTCAGGCCTGATAGACCTTTATTTTGTTATTTTGTTTGCTTGTTTGTTTTTTGCTGAAGCTAACCCTTGTGTTGATTAATCTCTGCTCACTTCTGATTGAGATTGGCGTCAGTTGTCCGTCCTCTGTTCTCACATGCTGATTTACTGGGGTCCTGCTTATGATTACCACTTGCAGCCACTGGAACCTTGTTCAATTTGGATCTGCAATTACCACAGCTCGCCAACATCCAGGGGCTGTAGAATGGGTCTGAGATGGCCGGACACAGCATGTTGTTCAAATTCACTTCGGTGACCTCCTTTCCATAGCAGATAGATTGGAACCCCATACAACATAACATGCTGGATATAGTAGACCTCCAATTCAAAAGGGAGCTGCCGGGTATTTACCACAGGAAACAGCTTGTGATTTAAATCACCATTTGCTGTCCTCGCCGGGGCCCCTTGGAGAGGAGCGGGTTGAGTTTTCCTCCCCGCCCTGACAAGGGCTCCGGCAGCCGAAGACCTCCAAGACCAGCCACCACCATGCTGAGACCACTCTCCGCACACATGAAGGTACCGGCAGAGGGACAAAGCCACGCGGGTTCGGGGGCCGAGATCTCCAAGCCTACTTGGATTGGGGCTGAGCATCCTCCACCCAGATCCTCCAAATTCCAGTAGGCGGGGGTCACACCCACCAACTGGCCCCCTGGCGCCGTGTAATCCCATCAACGGCCAAGATTCAGAGACTATAAAACCCAGCTCCTGGAAGTGACATCTTATTATCTCATTCCTACTTTGGACAAATTGGCAGGCTACCGAATGTAACCTGCCCACACGGCAGAGTCTGGCAAATTCCCCGTGGCGTACCCAATATGCCAAATACCAATAACAATGAAGGGTCTCATTCTCCTAACTCTGAAAGAGCCTTGAATATGGCACTTTCTAAAAAAAAAATCTCAGGGCTAGGACGAAGAGACATTACTGGGGCCTGCTCGAGGCAATCGACGAATAACAGGACGGTTGTGATTGTGATTGTGAACAGTTCAGACCATCTTGCCTTCTCTCCTCATTCCCACTTTTTGCACAGAATCCCATGTCTTATCTCCTTTTAGTTAGCTCCCATACTTTTGCCTCAGTTTCTCACATAGAATATGAGAATTTTTTCTCGGGCACTCGGGTTTTTTCTAGATTCTGGCTATTGTAAACAGTGCTGCAATGAATAAACAAGTGCAGATGTCACTTCTACTATACTTTTTTGCCTCTCTGGGATATATTCCCAGGAGTGGTATTTCTGGGTCAAATGGGAGCTCCATTTCTAATTTTTTGAGAATTATCCATACTGTTTTCCAAAAGGGCTGTACCAGTCAGCATTCCCACCAGCAGTGAAGGAGGGTCCCTTTCTCGCCACATTTGCACCAGCACCGATTGCTTTTGTTCTTTTGGATGTGGGCCAGTCTCTGTGGTGTGAGATGATATCTCATTGTGGTTTTGATCTGCATCTCCCTGATGATTAATGATGTAGAGCATTTTCTCATGTGCCTTTTTGCCATTCAGGTTTCTTCTTTGAGTGGTGGTAGAAAATGGGCACTGGTGGAGGGATGGGTATTTGATCATGTATAATTGAAACCCAAGCACAAAAATTTGTAAGTCTACAACTGTACCTCATGGTGTTTCACTAATAAAAATTAAAACAAAACAAAACAAAACAACAAAAAAAATAGAATGTGAGAATTTGTTGTCCTCATCTTTTATAAAACCTGGATACTTTAACATCGTAGCCTACAAACCATGGGGGATCTATGCTTTTTAAAGCACTATTTGATAGGGAGGAAGTGTGAGAGAGTCCCTGGAGCTATTGATGGGGCGGGGGGGGGTACAGAATGCCTTTTCTTAACAATGTACTCACCAGAATTAAATAATAATTGCGTTTTGTGTTCTCCCTGCCTTAAAACCTATATTTAACAAACCCAGAAGGGGTTCTAAGAACTCTATATAAAGCAAAACAGATTAAGTAACAATAGCTAAAACTAGTTTATAGAAATAGCTATATGCAGTTTTCTAACTTAAGTATAATTATGTATTTATAAAAACTATAAATTGATGTTGGAAATATGCAGAGATGTTTCTTTCATTGTTAACACAATGCAGAGGCTTTCAAATTACTTTATTATATTCTATTTCAATATATTATTTGGTTTCTACCAACATACCTCTTTCTTCCAATACAATCTTATGCTGATAACCAAATACATCAACAAAAGTAAAAGAAAAACAAAGTGTGTTGGGATAGTGTGACCTAAAGTAACTTCCTCTGGAGGGTCATTTGAGAGGTGGTTCTGTTTTTCTCAGCCATGAGCTCGACTGTAAGAACCAAAATTCAGGGACCACTGTGACCTCATGACATTAAGGAAAAGAAACTATGGGATGAAACAGGGTGGAGTTCAGTCCTGGTTCTGCCACTTTCACGCGGAAAAAGAAATGTTTGGACAAGTCTCTTGAAATCTATAAGCAAGAAGCAGTTGTTAAGACATTACTCTTTAAGAGTTGCAGGAACTCACATGTGAGGTACATGAGATAACATGCCCTTATACCAGGTAGAAACTGTCATTCTTTTCTGTTTTCTGTCACTGGGTGCCTTGTCAGCTTACAGTGAAACAGTTACTTTCTTAGTTAACATGCTTGTCGTGTTCTCTGATGCAGAAGGAAGAAATAGACCCATCACCATTTATAACTGAGACTCAGAGTTCCTAAGACCCACCCCCCCCAACTGACTTTACTACAGGAAATCCAAAAAGTTAGCTTAGAAACCTTTTGAGACAGTGATGTTCTCCTTGATTGTTATTTCATGTTCTAACTTGTTTCATGTCTATTCTGATGGGACTACCAAGACCATGCTGTACCTCTGCTCACACAACCCCCTGCTACCCATTAACTCTTACTGATGTTTCTCCTAAATTAATGACAAAACCAAACTACAAATAACCCTTAGTGTAAGAGAAAATTTTCACCACCTAGGGAAATGAAGGCAAATGGTTAACATTGTTATTTGTAACAGGACTTCCACCAGAAAAGTTGTCTGAAATGGAAAAATGATCAAAGTTATTCACATGTTGCTCATCTATGATAATTCCAGAGAAATCAAGGACTCCCAGTCATTTGAGATGTCCAGATTGGTTAGAATTTCTGCATTCTTCATCATTGTTGCTTCTCCACATTTACAATTCTGCATTTTCAGAAAGTATCATGTGTCTTGACTTCAGGACTATGCGTCTTGGCTATGCTTTCATTGAAAGGCAAAGTTCCTTACACTGCAGGGTGTGACAATATAGCAGCTTATCCTTTAAAGGGCTGGAGCGATAGCACAGCGGTAGGGCATTTGCCTTGCACGCAGCCAACATGGCCAACCCAAGTTCGATTCCTCCGCCCCTCTCGGAGAGCCCTGCAAGCTACCGAGAGTATCTCGCCCGCATGGCAGAGCCTGGCAAGCTCCCCGTGATGTATTCGATATGCCAAACACAGTAACAGCAAAGTCTCCAATGGAGACGTTACTGGGCCCACTCGAGCAAATCGTTGAACAACGGGAGGACAGTGACAATGACAGTGATTCCTTTAAGAAAGGTCCAGAATCTGAAGGGTCTGACTTGGGGTGATATCGTGAATAGTAACTGGAAAGATGGCCAAAGTCATGATATACACCATAAGAAAATAGAACATGTGAATAGCTTATATGAAAATTGTGTAATGCATGGATGCTGAGCAGGGCACAGAGCAAATCTCACTTATGATTTGTTAATGGATAAACTAATTTATAGATTACTCTCAACTATGCCTGGTCTGGATTAGAAGAGTTCTAGGTGAGGTTCTTTCCCTACTTTTGTAAGTGGTAAACTGGAAAGAAATTGGGGGTGGCCTACAAATTGTGTATGCCCTCTCTTCTATTTCCTTTTAAACTATGAAATGGAAGTTTTCCACCTTTGGACCTGTTTTTAACCCAGGGCTCTGCCAGGGTGACAAGGGAGTGATATTCACTCATAGTCTACCCACAGCAATGCAGAGAGGTTTTCAGAGGTGAGAAGGTGGGCGGAAAATCATCCTGTGCCCATAAGTTTGTCCTATTTCCATTGGGCCCTTCTCTTCTGACTGCAATTTTCACCTCATACAGGTGTGAAAATATTTCCTGGGGAGAAAAAGATGCTAGCCCCTGTATCCTCACAGGTTGAAGTCACTGTCCTCCTTGTTACTGAGGAAAGTGGGTCTGTGGCTTGGCCTCTGATTTTGCTCAGGCACTTCGACTATTCATACTCTATTAGACACATATGAAGGAAGGAAATTGGACTTTCTCAGGTTGCAGATGTATCAGCAGGGATGTATGGCTGAAAATTAATTCACTGACACAGACTGATGAAGCCAGCAGAAATGCTGAAATATATTTTATTTTTTACAGCATATGATCACAGTGTCACATGTGTTCTTTGGTTTGAAATGCCATTGATGTTTTGACAACGGAATTTGAAATTTTCTCTTCATAAACAGCTTTGTTGTTAGCCAGAATGTCAAAAAGTGGTCAATATGTCAATTAATGAAGATACTCTAATGACATGTATTGAATACAGTGTGTAATTTAGCTATACAGGGGAGATGAACCCATACATTTAAGTCTAGGGCATAGCTATGACTAAAATCTAACAGAATCTTCTCAGTTTTTTCTCTGAAGTCTACTATTTTTATGTGCTATTTTTTTCTTCTTTTTATTTTCAA